AGGTCCTGACTCTCTGTGGTCAATTAAAATCCCAGTCCTTTGAAAAAGAGTAGTTCTGGAGCGTTCTGGGTCTCTGTCCATCCTAACCCTCCCTATATCATAATTGGCTTCATAACTCCAGTAATCAGCTGGTGTGTGGTGTTCGGTCTGGCGCAATAAGGCTGCTGTTGTGTCCTCCAGGTGGATCCTGCACACTGGTGGGTAATGAGATTTCCCCCCAAAAAATGTGTAATGCACTTTGAGTGTTCAGAAAAGCGCTATACGAATGTTAGGAATTATTATTATTATTATTATTATTATTATTATTGTTGTTGTTGTTATTATCATTATAAATATTATTATTGATAATAAATATAATTATTACTATTATTGTTGTTGTTATTATTAAATATTACTATATTATTGTTGTTGTGTTATTATTATTATTATTATTATTATTAATTAACACTATTGTTATTATTATTATTAATATTATTATTTAGTATTAATTATTATTAATTATTGCTGTTATTATTGTTTTTGTTATTAATAATAATATAATTTTTTTATTATTAATTACTAATATTATTATTGCTAATTATTGTTATTATTATTATCATTATTATTATTAATTACTCTTGTTATTGCTATTATTAATAATAATATTTATTATTATCAATAATAATAATATTTATTATTATTATTATTAATAATATTATTAATTTGTACTATTATCATTGTTATTATTATTATTATTGTTATTACAATAATAATAATTATTATTAATACTACTATTAATTTGTACTATTATCATTGTTATTATTAATTATTACTATTATTATTATAATTATTTTTATTATAATTAATTAATTAACACGATTATTATTATTATTATTTATTATTAATGATTATTTAATACTATATTATTGTTAATTATTGTTATTATTATTAATTACTATTGTTATTGTTATTATAATTAATAATATTTATTATTATTATTATTATTAATTATTACTGTTGTTGTCGTTGTTGTTGTTATATTGTTATTATTATTCATTTGTACTATTATCATTGTTATTATTATTAATTATTATTATTAATTTTAATTTGTATCGTTATCATTGTTATTATTATTATTATTACTATTATTATTATTAATTTGTATTATTATCATTGTTATTATTATTATTACTGTTATTATGATGTTATGATGCTGATGATTATTATTATTATTACTATTATTGTTGTTATTATTAATTATTACTATTATTATTATTGTTAATTATTGTTGTTGTTATTATTATTATTATTTATTATTACTGTTATTATTGTTATTATTTTTTAATTATTATTATGCAAAAACAACTTAATAATGTTTAAAATAATTGCATTCAATTGTTTATTAGAATGTGTCAATTTGTAAAAACAGACAATGCATTTATATTTATGTGAATTATATAATGGAAACTGTCGAGGAAGGAACAAAATATATCAAATAATTGTGTCCCTATTGATCGGTTTATTCCTTTTTATGGTCTTTTGGATTCTCCAGGGAAGTCTCACCCAACATTTTGCTGTGTTTACTATATCACATTACATGTAAATATACCAAATTACAAAGTAAAGCTGCCTTTCATGTTTGCACAAACAAATACACCATACCAAGAATCCTTCTGCCTCATTTGGCAACATCAGCATAACCCATCAGAAATATGAGTTAATGTTTCAGCACAATAAACAGATTAATAATACCAGCAGAGAGTCCCTAATCCATGATAAAAGCCTAGAGGAGTGCAAAATAGCTTTGTAAAGCGCATTAATGCTTTTATTTGCTTTTGTCGGGCTGACTTGTAGTCGAAGCCAGCGTGATTAATTGCCTAATATGGCATTAACATATTTATTTCAATCGAAACAGGAGGTATGATATCCACTGTTAATCATATTATGACTTGTTTGCACACATGTGACAAAACACCCACGCGAGTCGAACAGAACAATCCATTACTGCCTAGCAAAATTATAATAATCCCACCGCCATATTTCTAAATGATTTAATGAATTTCAGTCAATGATAATTCGATGACTCCCTGTAAAGCCATGAATGCGTAAACAATTACGTGCCATGAAAGAGTTTTTTTTTTTTTTTTTTTTTCCAAAGAAATAGGATGACATCCACGCATGGGTGAGAATATCTTCCTGTCAGTTTAACAAAGGATTTATTTTAATATCTAAATTAGGTGATAATTGGTCTCGACAGCCATCTGTGCTTCTCAACATATCAAATATCATAATTAATTGCATGGGGCTGTTTATCTTGTAGGGAATCGTTGAGTCTCTGATGTGGAAAGTTTGGTTGTTTCATTCCAGTCTTCTAGTACAGTGTTTTCCAACCCTGTTCCTGAAGACACACCAACAGTACACATTTTTAAGCTCTTCCTAATTAAACACACCTGAAATCAGCTCATCGGGACATTGGAAGAGACTCCAAAACCTGAAGTTAATAGGTCAGACAAGGTAGACATCCAAAATGTGTACTGTTGATGTGCCTTCAGGAACAGGGTTGGGAATCATGGAAAAGTGACTTTTCTGAATGTTTCGTTGTTTCCAGTTTTCTAATACAGTGTTTCCCATTGCTGTTCCTGAAGACACACCAACAGTACACATTTTCAACCTCTTCCTAATCAAACACACCTGAAATTTACTCATCTGGACACAATAACAGACTTCAAAACATGAAGTTAATGAGTCAGATAAGGGAGACATCCAAAATATGTACTGCTGATGTGGCTTCAGGAGCAGGGTTGAGAATCGTGGAAAAGTGACTTTTTTGAATGTTTCGTTGTTATATTCTAGTTTTCTAATACAATGTTTCCCAACCCTGTTCCTGAAGGCACACCAAGAGTACACATTTTCAACTTCTCCCTAATCAAACACGCCTGAAATCAGCTCATCAGAATATTAGAAGAGACTCCAAAACGTGAAGTAAATGGGTCAGATAGGGGAGACATCCAAAATATGTACTGTTGGTGTGCCTTCGGGAACAGGATTGGAATCACATTTTCAACTTCTTAATCAAACACCTGAAATTAACTCATCTGAACATTAGAAGAGACTCCAAAACCTGAAGTAAATGGGTCGGATAAGACAGACATCCAAAAATGTGTACTGTTGGTGTGCCTTCAGGAACAGGGTTGGGAATCATTGAAAAAGTGACTTTTCTGAACGTTTTATTGTTTCATTCCAGTTTTCTGTTTCCCAACCCTGTTCCTGAAGGCACACCAACAGTACATGTTTTCAATCTCTCCCTAATCAAACACACCTGAATCAGCTCAAGTTTTTAATATGTGGATTAAAAAATATGTACATTTATATGTATTTATGTATGCATTATATTATCTTTGCATACAATTAAAATGCAGCGTATGGGGGCAGGACAGTAAATTTGATGTTGTTCTCTGTTCTAGCTGCTGTTATCAGTCACAATTCTTATAATTTTTTTTCTTTTTCTGAGTCTCGATAAAACCCTTATGGAGTTCTTTTTTATTATTTAAGCAAATAGGATTGTAATATATATATATATATATATTTGTTGTACTCTCCTAATCACTGTGCACTAGGTTTACTCAACTTACCCTAAAAACGCCTTGCACAATGCACAAGCGGTAATTCTTTTTATTTTTTTTGTAATGTGATGCAAAGATAATACATACAGTTAAAGCCATCCCCCCCGATTAAAAGATTTATTTTTGGCCTTTATTAGATAAGACAGTATTGAGACAGGAAGCGAAGTGGGAGAGAGAGAGAGGGGGTAAGGCAGGGAAATGTCTTCGAGCCAGGATTCGAACTCTCAACGCCCTGACGTGCTATTGCACCATATGTCGGCGCACTAACCACTAGGCTATTGCGCCGACAGCTTAAAGTGACATTTAAAGGATAAACTAGGTTAATTAGGTTAACTAGGCAGGTTAGGGTAATTAGGCAAGTTGTTGATTAACAATGGATTCTTCTGGAGACTATCGAAAAACTAGCTGAAAGGGGCTGATAATTTTGACCTTAAAATGGTGTTTAAAAAGTTAAAAACTGCTTTTATTCCAGCCGAAATAAAACAAATAAGACTTTCTCCAGAGGAAAAAATATTATCAGACATACTGTGAAAATTCCTTTGCTCTGTTAAACATAATTTTGGAAATATTTAAAAAAACAAAAAAAAAAAATTAAAGGCGGGCTAATAACTCTGACTTCAACTGTGCATGAATACATACATACATTTCTTTTTAAATCAAACTATTAAAAACTTTCAAGGACTTAAGATGCTGATGATCGTTAAACGTGTCATAAGTCTTGTGAAAAGGGTCCGTTCTGAGTGTGCCTCACACAGGTGAGTGGGCTTGACAAACCACCTGTAGAAAATACCCTTTTAGCGCTCTTACACTCTCACAATCGCTTCATATATGAAGTGTGATTCACACAGGTGAGTGGGCTGGACAAACCACCTGGAGAAACATTTTTCTCTCCACGAAAAAACTCATGTCCCCCTTCCTCTAGCACTTAACTCTCTGAGCACTAAGAGTTCCTTTGTATAATTAGCACTTGTTGTGTGTATTGCCTCTTCTTGTTGAATCGCTGAATGCCTCCTCAATAGTAAGTCGTTTTGGATGAAAGCTCAATGACTGGATGTAAAACCAACGTAAAGTAATAACAGAAGATACTTGTTTACATTGGCTATGGCTTTATTTTTCAGCATGACTTACCCTAAGCAGCTGTCAGAAATGACACTACTGAATCGCTGAAATGGTTAATTTGAACCAGTTCAATGAAGCGAACCGTCTAAAAGAGTCTGTTCACTGAAATGTATCAGACTTCTGCTTGTTATTAACAAACTCTGTGGTCAGTGCTGCGTTTCGAACACATTTTAAGTCAAAATGTTTGAATTGTATTTATAGCAAAGCATAAAATCAGCTGTCAATCAAGCATTGTCTTACAACAATGGCTGAACAAAGAATAAAAAAAAATCCCAAAACCACCATTAATGACCACCATTTTATTCTGTAAAGTCAGTTTTGTTGCGTCTTTAGTTTACTCCAGTTGTTTCCAGTGCCATAATCGGGTCACCGTCCACTCCGGATTCCCTCCAGCGCTCAACTCCTGATAAAACCTTTAACAAACACACAATAATGAGTTGTAGGACTAAAATATAATAAATAATGAGATTATGAAATGAGTTAAATTAATATATTTTCTATAAGGAATTCAAAATAATTTAGTTAAAAAAATGATCCACTTCTGGATTGAACCACACTATGTCAACGCAGAAGCAATAACTAGCTGATGAAATATGTAAAAAATAAAATAAAATAAACAAAGAATCTCTATATAGATCAGGGGTGGTCAACTCTGTTCCTGGAGAGCCACCTTCCTGCAGATTTCAGTTGCAACCCATATCAAACACACCTGCCTGTAATTATCACATGGTGTTCAGGTCCTAATTAATTGGTTCAGGTGTGTTTGATATGGGGAGCAACTGAAACCTGCAGGAAGGTGGCTCTCCAGGAACAGAGTTGGCCACCCCTGATATAGGACATTGTTGTCGTAATTGATCACAACAAAAACAAGCAACCAGATATTTTTGGTAATCAGTTTAGTTGACAATATGGTTATTTTTATTTTGCTATCTGTCTGAATGTTACCATAATTACAATATATATTGTATGGTTACAAAATAATAATATTTATTTTTTGATTTATTTATCAAATTTATTTATATATATATATATATATATATATATATATATATATATATATATTTTTTTTTTTTTTTTGCTTTATTCTGGACAGTGATATTTTGCTTTATTGTTGATAAATAAATCAAAAAATAAATATTATTTTATATATATATATATATATATATATATATATATATATATATATATATATATATATATATATTAGGGATGTAATGGTATCAGAATTTCACGGTATGAATTGGTATGAATGGCATGGCACAGTATTTATTGAATAATTTACAGGAAAAACAAAACTAATGAAAAGACTCGAAAAAAAGTGCCAAGAGTGTTTATTTACCTTAGCACTGAACATATCAATGACATACAAATCAGCCATCTATCTGTAAGTTTCGAAACAGGAACTTCAATGTTAATAACAAAAAACTATTAAACTATATAAAAAAAATAAAGTTTTAATTTAGGATTGTTGAAAAATCATCACATTCAACATTTAATTACTCACTCACTTAGAGATGGGTTTTTTATGGAAAATTATCATATAACTACAATCTGGTAAAAGCTGGGATCTCTGGGCATTTACAATGTCCCCTGCAACAGAAAAAAAACCCTCTCATTTGGGACTGAGGTTTCTGGGACAGAGAGATATGATTTATTGAGTGATGTGCCTACGGTAATATTGAAAATAATTACTATTGCGGTATGACGGTATTTACAATATTGTTACATCCCTAATATATATATATATCTCCCAGGTTTCTTGCCTTCAGTTGGTCCAAAATGCTGCTGCTAGATTTATCTGTAATAGCAGAAAACCTGACCACATTACCCCTCTTCTAAGGGGCCTTCATTGGCTGCCTGTCCAATTCAGAATTGATTTTAAAGTGCTTTTACTGTTATATAAATCCCTCCATAAACCAGCCCCATCTTATCTCTCAGAGCTACTTCATTTTTACACTCCCGTGAGATTAAGTGATCAGAATGTTCTATAATCTTATATCTATATCAAGGGTGTAACGATACGCGTATTCGTATTGAACCGATCGGTACTAGACTTTCGGTTCGGTACGCATTGCAAACTGAAAGATTCAATTCAGATTAACATCTAAAAATATAAAAGGCAATAAATACAAAATTGAATGTTTTCAGTGCAACAACGCTCAACATGGCAATCCAAATGACGTGGCAGACAACATGCTGCCTTCCCCGCTGTCATGTTAAACAGTAGACCATCGCTTTGAACTCAGAATACCACTTTATTAAAGCAAGCACTCATTAGCAATCTTGCTAGCTTCTGTGTCAGGCTACTCCTGCATTTGTTTTTTTGCTGTAATGAATCATTACAACCAACCATACAAGGTGTTGATCTGCATTTCACAAATGACTAGTTGCATTATTTTCCCTAATCAGAACGTGTGTATACATTTTTATTCATTCATTCATTTTCTTTTTGGCTTAGTCCCTTCATAAATCAGGGGTCACCACAGTGGAATGAACTGCCAACTTATCCAGCATATGTTTTACGCAGCGGATGCCCTTCCAGCTGCAATCCATCACTGGAAAACATCTATGCACACTCATTCACACAAATACACTACGGACAATTTTGCCTTCCCAATTCACCTATAGAGCATGGACTTGTAGGAAAAGCCGGAGCACTCAGAGGAAACCCACACCAACATGGGAAGAACATGCAAACTCCACACAGAAATGCCAACTGACCCAGCCAAGGCTTTTTTTAAGACATAATTCTACCGCAAATACAAATGCAAATATGCGAAACCTGATATATCCTAAATAAGAAAACAAACCCTATGGTGTCAGAACTAAAAAAAAAAATCAACAAAATCACACAATGTAATATACAAAAAAATAACAGGTGCTAAAAAAAAAAGTGTGAGATCAGAGCTACTGAAGTACGACACTTTCACAAAGTTAACTTAAGAAACGGCACTCGCTGAGCGACAGAGAGTGAAACGTGCTAATGTGACAGATGGAAAGATGTTTTGAAACACGAGAGAGAGAAAAAAAAGAAGTACGCAAACAGCTGAGAGCGAACCTATTAGCATCTATAGATCCATCAAAGCACTGCGCAAAAACAAATGTCTGTCATAAGGCAGAAATCCATTAAGTACATTTAAGACGATTTGAGGCTGCGCTGGCGTTCATCACTCAGACTTTTACATCCACGCTCACCAAAAAAAAAATCGCTGTCTGTGGGGAGGAGAATTTGTCAAGCGAGGTGCTCTTTACAAGTGTGCTGAAATGAAGAGCGTTTGACTTCTAATTATGTTTTGAGTGTGACTCTTTCAAAGAGTTTGTATATGACATTTAGCCTCCAGTGCCAAACATACAGCCGCTATATGCAGATCTGGACTGAAAACTGTGCGGCGCTTGGCAATTAAGTCATGTAAAATGTTCAGAGTATTTTAGAAACGTACTGTAAGATAAGTGATAAAAAGTGACAAAAACAAAAACATTTAGCATCAAAAGCTGAAAAAAAGTGTGCTTCTGTCTTTTATATTTTTACACTGTAAAATAAATATTAATAAAATAAATTGAAAATTGTACAAAATAAATTGTAAAATAAAAATTAAATAAAAATATAAATAAAAAGTAAATAAAAATAAAATTTAAATAAAATACAAATAAATTGTAAATACAAATAAATTATGAATAAAAAACAAAAGTAAATAGAAATAAAATTATTCATTCATTCATTTTCTTTTCTGCTTTATAAATTTTCTTTTCGGCTTTATTATTCTGGGGTCGCCACAGCGAAATGAACCGCCAACTTATCCAGCATATGTTTTTTTACGCAGTGGATGCCCTTCCAGCTGCAACCCATCACTGGGAAAATAAAAATAAATTGTAAATAAAAATTAAAATAAATTGAAAATAAAAAATAAATAAAAACAAGTTGTAAATAAAAATAAAAATATATTATTAATTGTAAATAAAAATAAAAACAAATAGTAAATAAAAAATTGTAAATAAAAATAAATTGTAAATAAAATTTAATTGTAAGTAAAAATAAAAAGTAAATAAAAATAAATTGTAAATAAAATAAAAAGGAAATAAAAAATTTATTCTAAATACTAATAAATTGTATATAAAATAAAAAGTCAATAAAAAAATTGCAAGTAAATAAAAACAAATTGTAAATAAAAAGTAAATAAAAATAAATTGTAAATACTAAAAAATTGTAAATAAAAATAAAAAGTTAATAAAAATTAATTGTAAATAAAATGAAAAAGTAATCTAAAATTGAAAAAGTACTAATAAATTGTATATAAAAATAAGAAGTAAATTAAAAATAAATTACAAGCAAATAAAAATTAATTGTAAATAAAAATTAAATAAAAATAAAAGTAAAACTAAATAAAACTAAATTGAAAATAAATTAAATAGTAAATACAAATAAAAAGTAACTAAAAATACAAAGTAAATAAAAATAAATAGAAAATAAAAATAAATTGTAAATAAAATAAATTGTAAATAAAAACAAATAGTAAATAAGAATAAAAATAAATTGTAAAAAAATTTAACTGTAAACAAATTATATAACAAATAAAATAAATAATGAAATATTAAATAATTATATTGTTTATAATAATTGTGTTTTTAAAATCCTAATTATTATTATTTAATCTGGTTGTAAAATCAACATTTCCTATTTTCATTTTAACATAACTAATAGTTTTACATGAATAGTTTAGATGCAAAAACCTCTAGTGCCATCTGTAATTTTCTTTTACGATGTAGGTGGGGGGAGATGCGTCATGCGGGGCCCCTAAATTGTCAGGACCCCATGCACTATGTCCCCTTTTTCCCACACTGGCAATGCCCATGTATATATTATTGAATATTTAATTAAACTTAACCTTAACAAAATATCATTAACACCGGAAAATATAAACTATTTAGTCACTATTTTTTTCACTATTAGTGAAATTAATTAACTTTTATTTAAAATGAATTAAAAATGATTTATCTATGAATAAATATGTCACTATAACTGTGTCTAAATGCAAAAATAATAATTATATCTAGATAGTAGCATGGCTGAGTCATTTCATAAAAGAAAATCAAATTCATTCATTAATTTTCCTTCGGTTTAGTCCCTTTATTTATCAAGGGTCGCCACAGCGGAATAAACCGCAAACTATTCCAGCATTTGTTTTACACAGCGGATGCCCTTCCAGCTGCAACCCGGCACAAGGGAACACTTATAAACGCTCATAAACTACGAGCAATTTAGTTTACCCAATTCACCTATATTCCTTGGACTGTAGGGGAAACTGGAGCACCCGGAGGAAACCCACGCCAAGATGGGGAGAACATGCAAACTCCACATAGAAATGCCAACTGACCCAGCTGGGACTCAAACCAGCGACCTTCTTGCTGTGAGGTGACAGTGCTAACCACTGAGCCACCATGCCACCTCATGTAGGAATCGTATACGTCAAATATATTCAACAGTTGATTGGTCATGTTTTTGATATTGAGCTCTTGGAGGCATTCATGTAGACGCACTCACTCATACACAGCTGTGATGATCTTCTGAGGTTCTTGTTCTGCAGTTAAATCTATCTTGAAGATGCGGGTCCCGTCAGGATCCTCAGGTACATCTGCGCTGGACAGATACCAGAGTCTCATCGTGATGTAGATGAACTTTCTGCCTAGAAAAACACAAACATTTCAGCTACGCTAATACAGTACCACTTTCACATCACAGCAAGAAGGTTGCTGGTTCAAGTCCTGGCTGGACCAGTTGGCATTTCTGTGTGGAGTTTGCATGTTCTCCCCGTGTTGGTGTAGGTTTCCTCCGGGTGCTCCCGTTTCCCCCCACAAGTCCAAAGACATGCAGTATAGGTGAATTGGGTAAGTTAATTTGTCCGTAGTGTATGTGTGTAAATGGGTGTGTATGGGTGTTTGCCAGTGATAAGTTGGCGGTTCATTCCGCTGTGTCGATCCCTGATTAATAAAGGGGCTAAGCCAAAAAGTAAATGAATGAATGAATGAAATTGGCCGTAGTGTATGAGTTTTTGTGTGTAAATGAGTGTGTATGAGCGTCTCTCCAGTACTAATTTGTGGCTGGAAGGGCATTAACTGTGTAAAACATATACCAGAATAGTTGGCGGTTCATTCTGCTGTGGCGACCTCTGATAAATAAGGGACAAAACTGAAGGAAAATGAATGAATGAATATATTTTACTCCTCTATTTGTTCCAAACTCGTTTGAGTTTCTTTCTTTCATTGAACGCTATACAGTAGAAGGTATTTAGCAAAATGTCAGAAACCGATTGACTTCCATAGTATTGGATCTTCCTACTATGGATGCCCTAGTAGCAAATAATTCTGGCCCAGATTTGGCAAAAAGCTGGCACAGCAGGCATTCATCCGGCACTGGCATACAGCATGTGGGCCAAACATGGCCCGGGTTTGGCAGAGGTGGCACCGTTTTTAAGGCGGCACACAAGATTTGGGCCAGATGAAAAACGTAGTATTTGGACCAGATTTAAAAATTTGATAAGTGGGCCATGTGAGTTTGGCCAGTCTTGACCCACATTTAAAATACACTAAAATCATTTTTGAGTAAAGAAAAAAAATTCTACCAATCAGGTCACTTTGAGAAAAAGCGTGCCCATAGTGTGCCTAAAGCGCATCACTCCATGGGTTTATCAATTTCATTGCAATCGTGACACACCAACCTATCTGGCCCAGTTCAGGCCCAGTTATGAATTATTAACTTGGCTGAGACTTGGCCCAGATATGGTCTGTGTTTGGCCCTTGTCTGGAAGCCAGATTTGGCCCAGTCATGTACCGTAATTCACTGCGGCATGTGGGCCAAGCAAAACCTGATTCTGTGGGCCAGAGCTGGGCCAGAGAAATTTTGCTATGTGGGTGTTGATGGTTACCAATTAACAACAGTCTTCAAAATATCTTCTTTTGTGTCAAACAGAAAAAAAAACTCATACATGTCTGAAATCATTTAAGGCTGAGTAAATTTAAATTTTTGGATGAACCAATAAGAAGAATCCGACATGAAAGACAAATATATTAAGGTTACGGTTTGGACACACGGCTCTACATAGTGTTCCGTTTAAAATAGGGAGACATCCAAGTGGTATCCAAGTTTAATCATGGTATTGAGGAGAAAATATAGAGCATATTGTAAAGAAATGTTCATTTCTAGTTCAATTCATCTTTATTTCTATAGCTCTTTTACAAAGTAGACTGTGTCAAAGCAGCTTAACATATAAGCTCTAGTAAACTGAAACTGAGTCAGTCCAGATTTCAGAGTTGAAGTTCAGTTCAGTTTAGTTCAGTGTGGTTTCATTTTCACTGCTGAAAGTCCAAACACTGAAGAGCAAATCCATTGATGCGCAGCTGCACAAGTCTTAAACTAAACAGTGGTTAGAGTGGCGAGAAACAAACTTTACCAATTGACGAAAGTGAAGGGAAAAAAAAAAAACCTTGAGAGAAACCAGACTCAGTTGGGCATGACAATTTCTCCTCTGGCAAAACTTCTTGTGCAGTGCTACAGTCCAGGCGCCGGACGCTGGAGAATGCTGGACGTCCATCGTGGAGAAGCTGAAGGTGTCTAAATGTCCGTTATATAGTGGGGAAAGCAATATGTGTCACGGTCGGTGAGGGAAAAAAAGGAGTGCAGACCCAATTGCAGAAAAATGAAGGAATATTTATTATAAACTACAAATAAAAATAAAAGGCAAAACAAAACTACCCCGAAGGGGAAAAACATTAATAAAAAGGCAAAAACAAACTTGACAGGGCTGGCAGGACAAAACAGGACTGGAGACAACAAGACAGAGTAATATTGACGACGAACTGACAAAGGACTGAAAACATGAGGGGGATTATAAAGCAAAAAGTAAATTGACACACAGGTGAACACAATTAACTAATGATGGGATAACAAGGAGGGTGGGACTAGACAATAGACGGGAGAGCGCATGACACAGAGAGACAATACAAGCCATGCGCTCACATAACAACACTGAAGCACGTGACCACAATGTAAACACTGAGCCACGTGCTTTGACAAAAGACGCAAGACACGAGCACAAGATGAATGAAAGCACCCACCGTGCGCTCACACACGCAGCGTGCATGCTTCATCCCAGCGCCGACCAAAACCGAAACCAACAAGACTGAGACGCTGGGAATGAAACACCACGCTGCTGACAAACGAAAACACAAACACGAGTACAAGCGCGCACGCATCTGAGGGACGCAGAGCGCGCGCGCGGCCGCGTCAAGCAGGAGCGCGCACACTCTACGTACACCCACGACGGCGCGCGCTCACACAGAGACAGAAACAGGACCAGACATGAGAAGTGTCAGAGCTCTGCCACCAAAACAAGAATTTTCAAGACCAAAGTGGCAGAACCCTGACACTAGCCCCCCCCAAAAGGGACGCCACCTGGCGTCCCTAAAGGGAACATCCAACAAGGTACAAGACAGACAAGAAACACTACAAGACAACAAAACAGGCAACATCAACAGACACAAGACAGGGGGGTGAACAGGCAAGACGACATGAAGGGGGGGAGGGAGGGAAGCCAAGCCGGACTCAACAAGACAAACAAGGGAGGGATGGGAGGGCAAGACCAGGGAGGATCAGGAGGGACAGTCCAGGGTGGATTCAGTGGGTCGGGGGCCCCGGCAGGGAGCCAGGGTGGAGCCGGAGGGTCCTTCCAGGGTGCAGGGAGGGAACACCAGGGAGGAGCAGGAGGGACGACCCAGGGAGAGTCTATCAGGGGAGACAAGGCAGGAGGTCGGTGGGGAGCCGGCTGGGCTGGAGGCCTGTGGGGAGCCGGCAGGGCTGGAGACCAGAGGGGAGCCGGCAGGGCTGGAGACCAGAGGGGAGCCGGCAGGGCTGGAGACCAGAGGGGAGCCGGCAGGGCGGGACGTCTGGGTGGCGCCGGCAGGGCAAGGAGCCGGGCTGATGCCGGCAGGGCAAGGAGCCGGGCTGATGCCGGCAGGGCAAGGAGCCGGGCTGGGGCCGGCAGGGCAAGGAGCCGGGCTGGGGCCGGCAGGGCAAGATGTGTGGGTGGCGCCGGCAGGGCAAGGAGCCGGGCTGGTGCCGGCAGGGCTAGACGTCTGGTTGATGCCGGCAGGGCAAAGAGCCGGGCTGGGGCCGGCAGGGCGAGACGTCTGGGTGGCGCCGGCAGGGCAAGGAGCCGGGCTGGTGCCGGCAGGGCGAGACGTCTGGGTGGCGCCGGCAGGGCAAGGAGCCGGGCTGGGGCCGGCAGGGCAAGATGCCGGGCTGGGGCCGGCAGGGCAAGATGTCTGGGTGGCGCCGGCAGGGCAAGATGTCTGGGTGGCGCCGGCAGGGCAAGGAGCCGGGCTGGTGCCGGCAGGGCTAGACGTCTGGTTGATGCCGGCAGGGCAAGGAGCCGGGCTGGGGCCGGCAGGGCGAGACATCTGGGTGGCGCCGGCAGGGCAAGGAGCCGGACTGGGACCGGCACTGAGGGGCGCTCAGGGGCTGGAGCCGACACTGGAGGGCGCTCAGGGGCTGGAGCCGACACTGGAGGGCGCTCAGGGGCTGGAGCCGACACTGGAGGGCGCTCAGGGGCTGGAGCCGACACTGGAGGGCGCTCAGGGGCTGGAGCCGACACTGTAGGGCGCTCAGGGGCTGGAGCCGACACTGGAGGGCGCTCAGGGGCTGGAGCCGACACTGGAGGGCGCTCAGGGGCTGGAGCCGACACTGGAGGGCGCTCTGGGGCTGGAGCCGACACTGGAGGGCGCTCTGGGGCTGGAGCCGACACTGGAGGGCGCTCTGGGGCTGGAGCCGACACTGGAGGGCGCTCTGGGGCTGGAGCCGACACTGGAGGGCGCTCTGGGGCTGGAGCCGACACTGGAGGGCGCTCTGGGGCTGGAGCCGACACTGGAGGGCGCTCTGGGGCTGGAGCCGACACTGGAGGGCGCTCTGGGGCTGGAGCCGACACTGGAGGGCGCTCTGGGGCTGGAGCCGTTGTGGTGGAGGAGCCCTTTCTCCTCCGACGCTTCCTTGGTCTGGGTGGCGGGAAGCTGGCCACCTCTTCAGACACTGCAGTATACTCCACTGCCTGCAGGACTGATGCAGTGTCTGTTGCGGGTGCTTCACTGGGTGATGCTGCAGCCAGGGTTGTAGCTGGGTGGGCTGCAGCAGGTTCCGTCACCAATAGAGGGGTAACAATAGAGGAAGACCTGTTCCTCCTCCTCAGTTTCCTCTTCTCTGTGGGAGGCAGCAGTGAGCTGGGTTCAGGTTGGTCTGTTGGTGGAAGAACAGAGCAGATTCTCTCCTGAGGACATTCATGGGCAACTTGATTAACCATATGGTCCACAAACTGTTTGTACGAGTAGCCCACCAATCTCTGTATCTGCAGAGGATAGAGGGGTTTATCAAGAGCGAAGTTCAGGAGATTCAAAAGAGCCCAGTCATTGAACCCAAGGCCCTCTGCTGCCATACGGAACCTCTCCGCAAACTCCTTTAACTCAGAGCCATGTTGCCGCAGCGCATGCAGACGGAGAAGCTGTGGCATGTGGCTGAGGAAGGAGTCATCCTTCTGCTGGGTCCTCATTTTGGTCAGTTCGTACTGTCACGGTCGGTGAGGGAAAAAAAGGAGTGCAGACCCAATTGCAGAAAAATGAAGGAATATTTATTATAAACTACAAATAAAAATAAAAGGCAAAACAAAACTACCCCGAAGGGGAAAAACATTAATAAAAAGGCAAAAACAAACTTGACAGGGCTGGCAGGACAAAACAGGACTGGAGACAACAAGACAGAGTAATATTGACGACGAACTGACAAAGGACTGAAAACATGAGGGGGATTATAAAGCAAAAAGTAAATTGACACACAGGTGAACACAATTAACTAATGATGGGATAACAAGGAGGGTGGGACTAGACAATAGACGGGAGAGCGCATGACACAGAGAGACAATACAAGCCATGCGCTCACATAACAACACTGAAGCACGTGACCACAATGTAAACACTGAGCCACGTGCTTTGACAAAAGACGCAAGACACGAGCACACGATGAATGAAAGCACCCACCGTGCGCTCACACACGCAGCGTGCATGCTTCATCCCAGCGCCGACCAAAACCGAAACCAACAAGACTGAGACGCTGGGAATGAAACACCACGCTGCTGACAAACGAAAACACAAACACGAGTACAAGCGCGCACGCGTCTGAGGGACGCAGAGCGCGCGCGCGGCCGCGTCAAGCAGGAGCGCGCACACTCTACGTACACCCACGACGGCGCGCGCTCACACAGAGACAGAAACAGGACCAGACATGAGAAGTGTCAGAGCTCTGCCACCAAAACAAGAATTTTCAAGACCAAAGTGGCAGAACCCTGACAATATGATGATCACTGATATTGAGAATAATTTAGATCCTAATATTACTTTAAGTATTGGATTAAGAGATAAAAGATTAAAAGCATTACTAATGTTTCCTAGGGATACTGGGTTTTATAATGCTGTGTTCACACCAGACGCGACAATTGAGGATAAATCGCGCTATTCACGCGTAAATAGACACGTGAACATTTTGAGTTTACTCGCATCATTTCCGCGTCAAATTCACTTCACAACAGACGTGGATTCGCATTATGGGCAGGGCTTCTGTCAGCCCGGTGACTCTAGCTTCGTTGCTAATGGCTAACATGGATCTTATTGAGACAATAACTGTGTTCATGTGCTTTATCAAGCTGAAAAACAGCGTCGATTTGTTTGGAGTCATGTCTAAGTCTGCTATATCAGTGGTTCTCAAAGTGGGGGTCGGGACAATTAAAGGGGGGGGTCGCCTGGTGATTTCCAAAAATCTATTTATTTTGAATAAACCATAAGAATTACCATATTTTATCCATAACCTACTGAAGAGAAAAAAATAGTTGTTTATAGTTACTATATACTATATAGTTACTATAGTAGCTTAGTTACTAGTTCTATTGGATTGCGACCCCTGGTGTAATTACATCATATTAAATACACAGCATAGCGTCAGATATGGCAGATTGATTTTATAACACTAGGTTAAACTTTCTGGTCCATTGACAGCAATCACATACATTCGAGAGTGAGAGGAGAGAGGAGACAGAGAGATGAAGACAATTATGCTATGGGGAGGGTTAGTAGGCCTTGATGGACAGAAGCCAGTGGGCAGATTTGGCCAGGATGCCGGGGTTAAACCCCTACTCTTTTTTTGAAGGACATCCTGGGGTTTTTAAAAACCACTGAGAGTCGGGACCTCAGTTTACGTCTCAACTGAAAGACAGCGCTCACTGAGCAGTATACAGTCCCCGTGACTACTGGGGCATTAGGACCCACACAGACCGCAGGTTGGGCGCCCCCTGCTGGCCTCACTAACACCACTTTCTGCAGCAACCTAGCTTTCCCATGTGGTCTCCCATCCAGGTACTGAACGAGCGCAGCCCTGCTTAGCTTCAGTGGGCGACCATGTGAGAGCTGCAGAGAGCTAGCTGCCGTTAAATATATTGATATATTGCGCAGCCCTAATTTCCTTAAATATGCATGCAGTTCCATATGTTTCTAGCTCTAATATCTGAACACAGAACACTCTCTAGTTATTTTTTTTACATATTAGAACCCAATGTTTTTACAAAGGGGATTTCGAAAATCATTATTTAATTTTATTTTATATATATATAAATGTATATATATATATATATATATATATATATATATATATATATATATATATATAATTTTTTTTTTGCTGAAAAACAAAGAACCGAAAAACCCATCATGAAACAATAATCTGTGCAAAATGTAAAATACAGCATGAAACAAGAGAAAATGACGACATCCAAAACATACATGACCTACAAAAAGACACAGCAATGGATCTAGGAAGAAAAAAACTTACAAATCTTCAGAAATTAAACAACACTATTAGTCTTTATGGTGTTTTAGAAAAAAAAGACTGGATCCCACATTTTATCAAATTTCCTCAGAGTTTCCAGAGGTGGTATATCAGAGGTGGTATACATTTTCCAAATGTAAAGTAGAGGTGAGTCCGACAAGCCAGTAAAAAAAAAGAGGCCTAACATTTTCTTTCCGAAAACAAAGCATAACTTTTTTTTTTTTTTTGCTATGATCATGCCATACTGAACAGGTTACCTGTATGTTTTAGTTGAGAGTCTCAAGAAAATCTGACCAGCCAAAAATTGCTATCATTGGGTCAGGGAGTAAAACACAATCAGCTGAAACTGAAATAGAAAATCATAATTTATCAAAAATAAATAAAATCACTGTTTTATGTAGCACAAAATGTTGCATACAATCAGATCAATTACATCAGTTGTCACCAAACTTGTTCCTGGAGGGCCAGTGTCCTGCAGACTTTGGCTGTTTCTCAATATGCGTTCTTCAGCGGTCTTGCGTCCTCATGTTCTCGTGCAAGTTCAGTTCCAATACTCAAGACCGCAAGTATGGAGGACTCTTTCACACAAATACACTACAGCCAATTTAGTTTAATCAATTCACCAATAGTGCATGTCTTTGGACTGTGCGGGAAACTAGTGCACCCAGAGGAAACCTATGCTAACACGGGGAGAACATGCAAACTTCACACAGAAATGCCAACAGACCAAGCTGGGACTGGTACCAGCAACCTTTTTGCTGTGAGGTGACGGTGCTAACCACTAAGCCATTGCCACCCCGCTCCATGTATTTATCACTTCAAAATAAACAAAATGTTATGGTATTTAAATACGATTGATAACAAGAATAAACAGACTCACCTCTCTGGTCAAAGAATACAGACACATCCTCAGGCAGAACAAATATAATGTCGTCAAGAGAAATGGCAAGCTGTCTTTTTTGGGTCTCTGAAAGTGCTCTACACTTCTTTCTGATATTCTCCACAGCCTGCAAACAGGAGAAAATCATGTTTCACAGCTCTTCTGTGACTTGATTGTTTGCCAGAGCGGTGATTTACAGTAATGAACGAACCTCTCTGGACATCACACTCCTCAACTCCTCAAAGTTGCCTTTGGACAGCAAGTCAGACACATGAACCGCAGCCTGTGGAGAGATCTCAGTCATCAGCACTAATTAGACACTTATTACTGATAAACAGACAGATCAGGTGGGCTGGGTTTTGGCCATCAAGACGTTATCATATTGATTTCTCTTTTTAGACATTATTGTATTGTGTAATTAGCATGCAAATAAGTGTTTATTTCATTCCTGAAAATCTTCTTTTGTTCCAAAATCTAATTTGCTATTATTAAATTGCATTATTTCTGCATGTATCAGCCACACTGCTGTAGGGATATTGTTAGAAGAGCAGGGGTATTATTATTGAGATGCTTTTAGTTGATGTTATTAATAATTTTGTGTGTTTTTGTATATGTATGTATACACTTACTGGCCACTTTATTAGGTACACCTTTCTAGTACTGGGTTGGATCCCCTTAAACTGCCTTAATCCTTTGTGGCATAGATTCAACAAGGTACTGGAAATATTCTGCTCCGAAGATTTTGCTCCATATTGACATGATAGCATCACGCAGTTGCTGCAGATTTGTCGGCTGCACATCCATGATGTGAATCTCCCGTTCCACTACATCCCAAAGGTGCACTATTGGATTGAGTTCTGGTGACTGTGGAGGCCATTTGAGTGCAGTGAACTCATTGTCATGTTCAAGAAACCGGTCTGAGATGATTTGCGCTTTATGACATGAAGCGTTATCCTGCTGGAAGTAGCCATCAGAAGATGAGTACACTGTGGTCATAAAGGGATGGACATGATCAGCAACAATACTTAGGTAGGCTGTGGTGTTGACGAGATGCTCAATTGGTACTAATGGGCCCAAAGTGTGTCAATAAAATATCCCCCACACCATTACACCACCACCACCAGCCTGAACCGTTGATACAAGGCAGAATGGATCCATGCTTTCATGTTGGTGACACCAAATTCTGACCCTACCATCCTAATGTTGTAGCAAAAATCGAGACTCATTAGATCAGGCAACGTTTTTCCAACCTGTTGTCCAATTTTGATGAGCCTGTGTGAATTGTAGCCTCAGTTTCCTGTTCTTAGCTGACAGGAGTGGCCTGTGGTCTTCTGTTGCTGTAGCCCATCTGCCTCAAGGTTGGACATGTTGTGTGTTCAGAGATGCTCTTCTGCAGACCTCGGTTGTAACGAGTGCTTTTTTGAGTTACTTTTGCCTTTCTATTGGCTGAAACCAGTCTGGCCATTCTCCTCTGACCTCTGGCATCAACAAGGCATTTGCGTCCACAGAACTGCTGCTCACTGGATATTTTCTCTTTTTCGGACCATTCTCTGTAAACCCAAGAGATGGTTGTGCGTAAAAATCCCAGTAGATCAGCAGTTTCTGAAATACTCAGATCAGCCCATCTGGCACCAACAACCATGCCACGTTCAAAGTCACTTAAATCACCTTTCTTCCCCATTCTGATGCTTGGTTTGAACTCCAGCAGATCATCTTAACCCCGTCTACATGCCTAAATGCATTGCTTGTGTTTGGCTGATTAGAAATTTATGTTAACGAGCAGTTGGACAGGTGTACCTAATAAATTGGCCGGTGAGTGTATATTACTAATTATATATACAGTGCTCAGCATAAACGAGTACAACCTATTACATGTATTGTGTATATTTACACATGTTATTTTTATTTTTAAATGTTTGTCATGTTTTGTTGTTTTTGTACTACATTAAGTCGAACAACATGGGATGTGATTGCATTTTTTTTTGGTCTAAAATGCTTTATTACATTTAATTTCAGTAACAAAAGTTAATCCATCATAAGTCAGGGGTCAGGGGTGTCCAAACTCAGTTCTGGAGGGTCGATGTCCTGCTAAGTTTAGCTCCAACAGAAAGTTTCTAGTATATCTAGTAAGAGCTTGACTAGCTGGTTCAGATGTGTTTGATTAGGGTTGGTGCTAAACTCTCCAGGACACCAGCCCTCCAGGACCCAAGTTCGGACACCCCTTACTTAAGAGTTTGAGGATTTTCCCCTTAAAGGGACAGTGCACCCAAAACTGAAAACTCTCATCATTTACTCACCCTTTGTGTTTCTTTCTTCTGTTGAACACAAAATTAGATATTTTAAAGAAAACTGGAAACCTGTAACCATTGACTTCCATAGTATTTTAGTTACATACTATATAGTTTCTCCTACTATGTTTTCAACCACTTACCTTAATCTTTGCAAATCTAATGAATCTTATTTTTCAGTGGACTTGAAAGATTGTAAATTGTAAGTTTCATTTATGCGTGAACTGTCCCTTTAATGCGACTCCATAATCATACCAACCTGTTTCACACCATTGTCAAACTCCACATTGAACTTCAAGCCAAAGTACAGTTCGGTTAAAAATAAGATGACTTTATTCCTGATCCACAGGATGGGGTCTGGTGTGCCCACCACGGTGATGACAGGACGCCCAGAGTCCTTCTTGTCTGCATCTTTACTATTATATCTGCGCTGCTGACCGCTGAACTGCGCACACCGTCTGCGCAGGTGATGCCATGCGCGCTCTGGAGAGGTCACGCAGATGGCATGAGCGCGCGCGCGCTGATGCCACCACGGTTGGCAAAGGGTCTCGTGTTTAGGATACAAAATATTCCTATTCCACCGAATGGCAAGAGATGCGAGTTCCCGACGTGCAGCCAAACACGCGAGTCGTTGCATCACGGACGCGCATTACAATTAAAGTTGCGCAATCCCGAACTGGTCATTGTAAAACTAGTGAATGACAGAAAAACAGTCCTCACCGTCGCTTCCGTAGCCCTTATGAAACTTGTACCCATAATGCTTTTGGTTTCTCATCACTTGTGTAGTTTCTCCGGTAGATGGAGGCACAGACCCGCGTATGCCATGCGCGCTCCCGCACACTATGACGCACAGACGCTGGATGGCATGAGGAGGCTGATGGATAAACTTTAAACTCTCCTCACAATGTAAGTGACATTTATTAGTTGTAAATACTACATGCGTTCAGGCTTTGGGTGCGTTTAATGTGTATTTCCACCCAAAAATGTCACATAATTGTTTGTTGTTATAGGCTTAACGTTACATTCTTCGGTTGAAAAATAAACGCATTTAAAGCTGTTTGGAAACTCAACTCAATGCCTGAATGTCGTTTCTTCGATGTGTTTTCTTCACAGCCTTCTATTTATATATAATTATATGTTGTTTTGGGGATTTTAGTGCATATATGAATTCAGTTTCTCCCAAATTCGACAATTAAAACAATAAACTTTTCCTATTTTTCTGCTTTCAGGACTACATTCTGGCTAGTTGTCCCCCCGTGAGTATTTCTCAATCAATACACTTTAAAAACGATGATATTATTCTGTATTTTAGTCTTGTTTACTACGTATTCGGTCTTGCTTTCAAATATAAAATAGTTTTCCTTTTAATTATTTTAATACTGTATCTCGTCTCATTGGTAGATGCCGTTTCCCTTTTTTATGTAAGAGCTTCCAATTTGCTCTAATTAAATTGCATGTATCAACCACACTGCTGTAGTGCTAACATTGTCAGAAGATCTGTGGTATTATCGCTGAGATCGTATTTCAAGTTTTTTATGAATATTGTGGTTTCATTTTAATATTTTGTTTTTTATTTTATTTGTTTTTTTTAGTTATATATATATATATATATATATATATATATATATATATATATATATATATATATATATATATATATATTTTTTTTTTTTTTTTTTACAATTTAGTTACTCACACACACACACACACACACAAACAATGTTACTCCATTTCTGTGGGTATTTATGTGAATGCATATATGAAATGAGTTTTCCCAAATTCGACAATCACCAAATTCAACTTTTTCAATTTTTTTCTTTCAGGACTACATTGACGCTAGTTGTCTCACTGTGAGTATTTCTCAATGCACTTCAAAAATTATTGTATTATTTAGTATTTTAGTGTGGTTTTCTATTATAAATATCCAATTGACTTGACTTTGACTTTATTAATCCCCAAAAGGAAATTCACGTCACAGCAGAACTCTCCATACTAAAAATAGATAAATAAGTTACCTATACATATAAAAACATTTTTCCTAAATAAAGATGCAAGTACTTGGGAAACAAACTCACAGATATTAAGTCTTGCTTTCTAAAAAGAATAGTTCTTCCTTTAAATTAATATTATTTTTAAATTAATATTTCTCACCACATTGGCAGACGTTGTTTCCTTTATTTTATGAAGGAAATTTTAGTTTGCTGTAATTAAATTGCATTATTTATGCATGTATCAGCAACACTGCTGTAGTGCTAACATTGTCAGAAGAATACCTGTGGTACTATTATTATAGTTTTTGTAAATTTTGTGATAGATTTTTTGATTTTCTGCTTTCATTTGCATATATCATTTATATATATATATATATATATATATGTATATATATATATATATATATATATATATATATATATATATATATATATATATATATATATATATATATATATTCATACAGTGCTCAGCATATATAAGTACACCCTTCACTCACTTCTCTTTTAAATTCATATTTTTAATAGGAAGCTATGCAATATTTTATTTGTGCATATACATTACATTAGTCAGTACTGAAGCCAAATCTGGAGCTTACCGAACTAAGTAACTTACGATAACGGTGCAATAACTAGTACAGCTTATATGTTATAGTAAATATTAAAAACAAATTTTAAAATGAGAAAGAATCAAGAGAAGTGAAAAATTGAACAATTTAGTTGAAATTTTGTAGATCGTAATGTTTTTTGCAATATTTTGTTTGAATTTATTTGTATTATCTTTCCATTTTCTTAATCTGTTTGGTGACTAAAATATTAGTATGTATGCATGTATGTATGTGTGTATGTATGTATGTATGTATGTATGTATGTATATATGTATATGTGTGTGTGTGTGTGTGTGTGTGTACACACACACACACACACACACACACACACACACACACACACATATATATGAATACATACACGGACACACACAATGTTACTCCATATTCCCACTACTATATATATGTAAATGAGGCAAGTCGTCACAGTGAAATCTTCAATGAAACAGAACTTTTATAGGTTTTTTTATAGACTTATTTTACCAGTTAAACAATGAAAAACAAAAGTATAAAACCTTAAAATATTCACAATGTTAAAATGAATGATTTTCTAACATTTTAAACACGACAGCTTGGGCTTTATTAAAAATCTCCCTGTTCTGAGATCATTATAGAAATATAAATGACAAAATCAAGAGTTCTGAGCTTGACAAAAGCAGGGTTGTAGTGATAACTAATCTGTTTAATTTAAAGCCCATGTGACAACTAGCAATAGTCTGCTTAATCTTTGGTTTTCTGGAGCAAACTTGTTTTATTTTTCCTTCAATATCTATTAAAGATCTTTTTACAAAAATAAGAGGAACATCATCTGCTTATGCTGTAAAAAAAATTAAAATAATATAATTCATAGTTCAAAAAAAAAACCTAATGAGTGAGTTGACTTCCCAAGTTAAAGCATCTTTAATATGCGTTAAAGGAAGCACATTATACACGGTGTGTTTGAGCAGGTTAAGCAAGTGTTGATGTTGAATCATACAATGCAAATGAGTGACACAGGTGGGCAATCCGCTTTAAGCGGGCCCCCCTTTCTGAAGCTCGCGGCATCACCCAAACACACCTCACAGGTGCACAACATCATTGTTTCAGAAGCTTAAATGTGATCAGCAGAGCAAAACATCATTAAATTCCTGCTGTTTCCGCTGATTACAGGTCATAAGCTTTTGTATTTGCCTGCTATCTGTGTTTTCTTTTGAAAATGATGATTATTCATTCAGGGGTTGAGGCGTATAAAAAAAAAAAACCAAGACTACAGAGACACCTGCATGGTTTACCCGCCCCTCCAAATTCTGTGACTATTTTTATTGATAAATAATTGCTATTGCGGCTCATCATTATTGAATTTGCGCTCAGATATGGAAACCTTTGGAAGATGTATTATAGTAATTATCTCTGTCAGTCTGAAATGCTTTTACATCTGTGGCTTGAATGAACAGAATAATAAAAATCTTGCAGCAGTTCCGATTTCAATTAATTACTTCGCCAGAGTGATTACAAACTTTAGGTCGTGATTTTATAGCAGAAAGAAACTCGCATGAAAAGTTTCATTCACACTGGTAACCTTTCTATTTTTTGCCAGTTGTTATCAGGATTTTATTTAGGACTCATGTGATTAAAAATAGTCTTGATTGCTGAGAAAAAAAAGACAGATAATACATGAAAAAGGCATAATTGAAAAGCTTATTTCCAGCTTCCACTACTGTATATGACACCATCGCTTTTAGTTTGCATATTAATGCGAGTGGAAATCATTTAGCTGTTTTTCTTGCACGCTATCGTCTTACAAAAGCATTTAGATGAATAAAACCTTTTGTACACAAAACACGACAGCTATACTGTATATTAAGACGTTACCATAGTGTGAGTGACACAGTCGAACCTTAACTTTGACGTTGGATAATGAGGGAATCAGTGCAAATGCCAAAGTAATAGTTCTGATTTTTTTCTCCTATCCCCCCACCCACCCCAATGGATTATTTTTTTCTTGTTTTTGCATCTATGCATAAATTAAAAAATCTGCTGAAATTTATTATTCATCTGAGATGTGATTAATATGCAAAATTATGCAAATTAAGATGCAATTAGGCTCCAATTCTCTAGTGGAATTTTCCATTATAATTTAATACAAAGTAACAGAGTAATTGGTGTCACGTGTAATTACGGTTACTCAAGTGTACTTTCAGGCATGCAAATGATGCGCTATATGTTGGTTATCCGATGCAAATCTGACAAGTCCACAATTTGCGATTGGGAACGTGTGGAGCCAAACGAAAAACACCACATTTCAATTACATATTTTTATTAATTTTACACCTGATGTCTACACTTCTGAAAAGTTGACACGTCCTGTTGCAACCATTTTAAACAGCAGATTTTGTCCTACTACATTGTATCTATTATCTAAGTACTAGAAGTACTATGTACTTAGAGTGTTCAGGATGTACGCTTCAGGTGTATTGATGGGTTAGGAGGGTGTGAGGGATGGTCAATAGTGCAATTATAAATATATGTACAGAAATGACATGCATGATTAAGCGCAATGTATTAATATGGTACTAACACTGCAAGTACATTGCAACAAATGATGAATTTCAGTGTAACGCAGGCTTAGTCCCTTTATTTTTTAGGGGTCACCACAGTGGAATGAACCACCAACTTATCTAGCATATGTTTTATGCAGTGGTTGCCTTTGTACCTGCAACCCAGCTCTGGGAAAAACTCATACACATTCTCACATTCACACTTATACAATATGACCAATTTGGTGTGTTCAATTGACCTATGGCGCATGTGTTTGGACTGTGCAAAACACCCAGAGGAAACCTATGCCAACATGGAGAGAGCATGCAAACTCCACACAGAAATGCCAGCTGACCCAGCTGAGCTTGAACCAGCGACCTTTGTGCTGAGGTGACAGTGCTAACCATTGAGCCACTCTTTTATGACCTCATATTAATTGACAGCCTACATGGACTGTTTGGATGTTTTAAGCACTCCCGTAGGACCGTTACAAATGAGCATCCGCAGCCATTCGTCTAAATCTGATCCCATCTATAAGTGTCAGAAGTCCAAGGAATAAGTTTTCCGGAGCGATTACCATAGACGTGGCTTCCCTTCTTGGGAGGTAAATTGATTTTGAATTGTTACATGGCTGGTTACATGACATCTAGCCCAATGACACTGGAACACAGATGCTTGCTTCATTGAGCTTTCTTTTTTTTTCTCTGTGTATCCTCTCCTCTTGCCGATCGGCGCTCTGAACAAAGACAGGGGCTCGGCGCGCCTCCCTCCGCCTGCCGCCTCCGCTCCGTCCCCAACTCTCTCAAAGAACATAATCCCTCAACAAAAATCAGCGCACAAAGGAAACTTGAGCTCAATCCTATAACGCACAGCCGTGGCAGACAATACCCCCCTCCCACCGGCCCATCCGCGCCTCTTCAGGAACGCTAAATGCCCTGTGGCAAAAGAAAAAATCAGGCTTGATCCCTCCCAGCCTGGCTGATTAGAGGCATCCCGCTCTGGGTTTTGCCCATTAGCGCATGGCACAATGCATGGGCTGCCCACCGCATGGCACCCGCACACAAGAGCTCGTTCTGTAGGAGATTGATGACTGAAAATGTATATACACTCCACAGTTTTCAGTATTTTGTGTTAGTATTTTGTATTTTCCCCCATTTCATGTTTAGTTCTATAACATTTTTCACAGTAATTTATTGTTTCAAAGCAGCTTTACAAATGTATTGCATTACTGTCAAATTCGTAAAAGTTAAGGTTATTAGTTACCATAACTTTATAAGTAACTTTAACTAAATAACTAGTATTCATTGTTGTGACCTTAAACCGGTCAACACAAATTAGCAGGAGGAGTACATTTGCGGTAGAAAAAGTATATTTATTTTTAACTCCTTTCACAAAGAACATGTTGTTAGCTCTACATAGATCCCGGCCCAACTCAAGGGAAAATAAGCGACCTTCAGACTCAGACAGCAGCCCTCAAAAACATCCGAGATATGCTGTTTATAACGAAGAAACAACCATACACTGGTGTTCGAATCCCGGCGCAATCAGCTGCACCTTCGGCTCATTCCTTTAAAAGAGTAATTAGTTATAGTTACTAATTACTTCTCACAAATAGTAACTGAGTTACATAATTATAAAAGAAACTAATTACCAGGCAAAGTAACTATTGCGTTACATAAAAATAAATCTAATTCTTAAAATGACTATAAAATAAATATAAAACATTGTACACTA